CCTTGAGCAAGCAGTGCTGAAGGTCTGTAATATCTGCATTGTCATGAAAGCTGAAGGAGCAACAACTTGAAGGTTTAAGCAATTTCTAGAAGTTAGCTGAGAGAAGGAGATAACTGATACGGGATGCTACAAATGAAAACTTTTAGAAGCTTTGTATAGCTTACTGATTTTAGCTAGTGAAACCAGAGAAGCAGGAGCAGAGGGGCTAGACTGAGAAGTGCAACAACAGGCTTAACAGCTGAATAAGGCTAGTATTAATTTTGTGTGTGTATGTGTATATGCATGTATATCTATACACACAGAATATGGAATAAGTGGGAGATGTGCTCAAATAGAACATGCAAAAAAACACTTCTGTAGAAACTGCTGAGTAGCAGGCACCTAAGAACATAGTCTTTTTGATCCTGTTTAGCCAACCAGAGAAGAAAGAAATACTGCATTTGTGGCTGAGGGCAGCTGTTACTGCCACTCCATTAATCTGTTTCCAGAGAAACCTGTGAAAGTGATACATGAAATAGAATCTTAAACTTCTGTGAAAATTTGAAATACTGGAATGACCTTAATACTTCAAGAAGTATGGATGAAGATGTTGTGAGGTGATGGGTTCAAAGGTACAAGAGCAAAGGGGAAACTTGTAGTTTCAAAACTTCTGATGTACTTGTTAACATCTGAAGACTCCCAAAGCTTGTTTTGTCTTGGTCATCTGAACAGTTTGGCATGTGACCAAAGCCAGACCCAGAAACAAGTCCATGTTCTGTCTCTTGAGTTTTCAATCTTTAGCAGATTTTTTTTTTTTTTATAAACTTTCTTAGCTGCTTATTTACACTGTTTTGTTTGAAATTTATTTTCTTATCAGATGGGAAAACCAGTACATGTCTCAGGATTGCTTATAGCACTGTAGGACACTCTCCCTTCAATGGTCAAAAGGGATTCTGATCACTAAGGGGATATTTATGCTGAAAGTGGAAGTCTCGCAGCTGCTTGAGAAGAAGTTTAATTGGATGTGATGCAGTCATGAATACATGTCATGGTTTAAGCCCAGCTGGTAACTCAGAACCACAGAGCCACTTGCTCGCTCCTCCCCATCTTCCTCTTCCCCCCGCTCCCGGAGGGATGGGGAGGAGAATCAAAAGAATGTAACTCCCACGGGTTGAGATAAGAGCAGTCCAGTAACTAAGGTTGTCATGTCCTGATGGACAGCACGGGCAGGATTCGGATGTCACTGGGTGAAATTAAGACACAAATGAGGTCAAATGTCCACATAATGTGATTTATTACCAAAAATTACTGTAACCTACAGTGTTAGAAGAAGAAAAAGAGGAAGAGTAGGAAAAGAAAGGATAGAAGCAGTATATCAGTAGATTTGCAGAGAGAGAGAGAGAGTCAGATAGTTAAGTTACCACCATGGAGTTGCATGGCATCCTGTCTTCCAGATCAGTGGGAGAAGTCTTCCAACTAGCCAGTGGACATGCGGTCCTTTATACCATATCACACCCATATGTTAGACAGATAGCTGTTACCCCAGCATTGTGCAACAACTGTGATCAGTCATGGGTTGCATCTGTGAATTGTGTGTTTCAGCAGGTTTTTTTATCTGCTGGCCATACAGTTTGTTCCTTACAAGGACGCTCCAGTCCACCCATCAGAGTGGAAACCTTTCAGCACAAGAATGTTCCAGTCAGCTTATCAGAAAGGAAGCTTCTCAGCCTCCTCCTTGGTGGTCAGCACAGCTGAGTCAACAGACCCAAACCCACAAGTTTGTTTCAGAGAACAATGAAGTCTCCTTCTGAGGGGTAAACGGTCTCATCACACCCGCTACAGTTCATAGTTCACGGAGAACAATGATTGAGACAAGTATTCATTTTACATATCAATCCTGCTACCAAGGTATAATACAAAACTAGTACTGCAACCACCAGTGATAATAATGATAAGAGGAATAACAAGGGGAGAGGACACAACTGCTCACCACCTGCTAACTGATACCCAGCCCAACCCGAGCAGCGATCTGGGCCTTCCAGATAACTCCCCCCAGTTTCTATACTGGGCATGACGTGCTGTGGTATGGAATACCCCTTTGGCCAGTTTGGGTCAGGTGTCCTGTCTCTGCTTCCTCCTGGCTTCCCCTCCTCCCTGGCAGAGCATGAGACTGAGAAAGTCCTTGGTCAGAGTAAACATTATTTAGCAACAGCTGAAAACATCGGTGTTACTGGTGTTGTTCCCAGGTAGAAAGTCAAAAACACAGCACTGCACCAGCTACTAAGGAGGAGAAAAAATGAACCCAGGACAATATGGAATATGGCTGTATGTCTTATACCATAGATGTTACTTGGTTTCTTACCTAGTTGAAGTGTCATGTGCGTTTGTGGGCCATTAACTTCTTTGTCCAGTTTCTTTGTATGGGCGAAGTTGCTCAACTTTTTTGGTCAGTTCGATTACTGTAAGTTAAAAATAACTCTTTCCATGATTTCCCTAGTAAAATATTGAATCACAAGACAAATTAAATAGGGCTCTTATTCTGTGTACTCTGTAGTCACATATAGCCAGTCCATGGGTCTTAGACATTTCCATAGTCTTTCGTATGTGGTCTGAGTTGCAACACACTTTTCTTATCCAAGGTGAGATATCCAATTAAGAAAATAATTTTATTTTGAAGTTTAAGAAATTGCTGCAGATATTGCTGCAGAGAAAATGTTGCCATTATGAAAACAAGGCTTTATCAGAGCCTTTAGTTTACCTTAGTGAGCTGGAGAGCTGCAGATGGTGTTGACAATACTGTCTGCAATTATGAAGCGTCTTCACTTTACCAGCACTTCTTACTTTGCTGGAAACCTCCTCTTCTACGGACATGCCATGCTCAGAAATAATATAGTGTTGTGAGTGGTGTGCTACTTTGATTTACTTCCTTGTGATTTTTTTGTTTGGTTGGTTGTTTTTTTCTTTTTTTGTGGTTTTGTTTTGGTTTTTTGTGGGGGTTTTTGTGTTGTTTTTTGGTGGGGTTTTTTTTTAATCTTTTGTAGGGCAAGGACTTGTGTTAATCAGGAGGGGAAGGGGTCAGTTTTCTCTGCATAACTGAGATCTGGTCTAGAAAACCAGGAAGGATTAGTTCAGGCAAATTCCTTCCTTGTGTTTTCACTCTCTATGTTAGTGTCGAAGCTTGCTTTCTATAATTAAGCTGTTTTGCACTTTAATTAGCTGCAGAATGTACCTGTTTGTTTGTTATATCCCTTGAGTTTAGTAGTTGTGAAATGCCAGTTTAACTTCTTTGTCTGCTGATACTGTGCAACAGATTCCAGAAATTGGTCTGCTGCTTAATGTAGTATTTAACTTCATATTTTAAACTATTCTATTGGTTTTATAAAGTATAAGTCACTGGAGAACCACTGAAGAAATAGAGTTGTTTGTCTATATAGATACAGTCGTTCTAGACTCAGTTTTGGTTTGGATGGGGCATGGAGCTGCTGGAGCAAGTCCAGAGGAGGGCCAGAAGGATGATAAGAGGGCTGGAGCACCCCCTGTATGAAGACAGGCTGAGAAAGTTGGGGCTGTTCAGCTTGGAGAAGAGAAGGCTGCGTGGAGACCTCATGGCAGCCTTCCAGTATCTGAAGGGGGCCTAGGAGGATGCTGGGGAGGGACTCTTTGTTAGGGACTCTAGTGGTAGGACAAGGGGTGTAATGGCTTTAAACTTAAACAGGGGAAGTTTAGATTAGATATAAGGAAGAAGTTCTTCACAGTGAGGGTGATGAGGCACTGGAAAGGGTTGCCCAAGGAAATTGTGAATGCTCCAACCCTGGTGGTGTTCAAGGCCAGGCTGGGCAGAGCCTCGGGTGACATAGTTCAGTGTGTGGTGTCCCTGCTCATGGCAGGGGGTTGGAACTAGATGATCTTAAGGTTCTTTCCAACCCAAACCATTCCATGATCTTGGCAAGGTCAAGTGGCATGACTTTAACAGACTTAAGCTGCAGAACTGCGTTCAGCTCTGGGGCCCCCAGTGCAAGAATGTGGACCTGCCTGAGTCCAGATGAATGCCACAAAGATGATCAGAGGGACGGATTACTTGTGCTGTGAAGACAGGCTGACGGTACTGGGGGTAGGAAGAACAGGCAAATCTGGGTTGCTTACTTCCTCTAGTGTTCAAATTGTTTAGATATGAAGCATAGTAAATAAAAAAATCTGGAGGTCATGTTATATCTTAGCATGGGCTTGGGGCACCCCTCCTTGCACTGAGGGCATTTCTCACCTGGCTTGTGTGTCCTGCTGGCTGCCCTCTGCCATGACCACTCAAGTGGTCACAGGCTGTCTCCCATACCAGCTTTTAGATTACCTGTCTGCAATCTTAAAAATGCCTTAACAACTTGATTCTTAATTCCGTTAAAACTTGTCACTTTGTAATGAAGAATACTTAAGTAATATTTTTAGGTGTGGTTGTATTTATGGTGTTAGAGGAGCAAGACTTAACCACTAATGCCAGGTCTTGGGTACAAATGAGCCCTCTGTTATCTGGGTCACTAAAGGTCCAGGATTTGTTAGGGGTTTCTTTGCCTACACAACTCAACATTGTAATTGACTTCATTTTTTCAAATCTTACACAATCCTGGTAGGGGGGTGTGCTTTTAAAGTACTGAAACCTGGTTTTGAATACAGAATCTGCTTTGAATCTCTTGCTTATGGCTACAGTTTATCTAAAATGGGAAGAGAGTGAGCAGGATCTATCAGAACAGGCAATAATCGATACATCTGTAGGAGAAATTGTACCCAACCATAATGGAGTTACCTGAATGACTCTTAGCTTAGTGTACCTGTTCTCACATTCTTTCCCATAGTAAGAAATATCACTCTTGCATATCTTCCAGGTATAGGAAAGTAAATTTGATTTAATGGAGTGCAAATGTCCTTAAGAGCTGAATGGTATCGAAAACTGTTGAATTATTATTCTATAAATTAAAATTAGCTTTTTTTGTTTGTTCTGTGTAAATCAATACTATTTGTTTTCCTTTTAGATCAGTGTATTGTTACTCGGACATACCTCTTTCTTCATAAATTTTGGTTCTTCAGTGCTGCCTATTACTTTGGGAACTGGGCATTCATTGCAGTAAGTACTCTGATTATAGAGATAGCTGAATCAAGTTGGATAATTTACAGTTATTGAAATAGTAGTTGTTGAATCATTTGCATCACCACACTGTCATTTCATTTTGCATACATTACCCTTTTATGCCCTTTAATTGAATCACCATAACTTTTACTACTTATTTTAAATTTGCAGGTCTTTTTAATTGGATTAATTGTTTCATGCTGCAAAGGCAAGAAATCAGTCATTGAAGGTGAAGTGGATGATGATGATTCAGACATGAGTGATGACGAACTATCTGCTTATTACCGTTGATAGTTTTTTGCCTTCAAGATGAAAAAATGTAATATAAAGTTATGTTGAAAGTCATACCCATGTGGAATTGGTATCTAAATAAGCATCCTTGCACTTGTAAAAATAGAGGAAATAAGAGTAATCACTTAAAGGGGTCAAAAAATCAATATCTCTTTTTGAGTATCACTTGTATAAGAACATATCAAAGCTGAATAATATATAGAAAATATTGTTTTATGATTAAACATACATGTAACTTTCTGATGTATAATTTGAACTACTGTAACCATTTCATAATTCAAGATGCTATTTTGTTAAGTTTTCTTAAATACTTTCATGCCTAACTTGTAGGATTTTTTTTTTAATTCAAGTTCATAAATAAAACTAGCTAAAATCTGCAAAACAGCTGTTGCAAACATTGCTAGAAAAATTTGGATAAGATTTATGCTTTCAGAAGGGTGTGACGTAACTTTTATACTAGTTCGCTGCCTAAAAAGAGACTGTCCTAAAAGTATGCCAGCAAACATCCACGTAGTTGGTGAGTTCCCGGTCTGTGAAGAGTAAGTCTTTTTCATACTGTTATCCCCACTGAGTTACCATGAGAATCCTCAGGTAACTATGAGGTGGCTTTTGCTCTATCAAAGGAAATCATTAGTATGAATGACAATATTCAGCATTGTTGCAGTGTTTTAGTACAGTTCAGTTCTGAAATTGCCAGGTGCCTGACTTAGTAATAACCAATGGAATAATTAAGCTGTGATTAATTTTTAACTTATTTTTCTCTTTAATGCAAATTGTCTACTTTGATGTTTTCTTTCAATATTTAATGTAAATGTTGTCAACTTGTTTACAAGCCAATATGTTTATATAAACACAGTTCATAAATATTTTCATCATTCATGTTGTCTTTGTAGTGTTATTTTGGCTATATAGTTACTGAGATATATTTCTAAGGCTGAAACTATCTTCAGATATCCTTTGAGAGACTCCGAAAGCGAAAATGTTTACAAGTACAAGCTTTTAAACTTCTAATTGCTACCTAAGTGAAATTATAGTCCATGCAAGCACATGGAAATATATCTTGGGTAATCTTTATGTAAGACTGTGACATAGTTATTGAAATGTAGGAGAATTATTAATGTCCTGCTTATGTGTTTGTAAACTCTTAAAACTGGCAGGTTTCTGTTCAGTTATTTCAAAAGCACTCTGTGTCTTCCTGCAGTATTTTAGAACAGCAGGCTTTCAGGAGCTTTGGAATTTTAATTTAGCTTCAGTATCTCAAGAAGTCTTAGGCTTATTGCTTAGTTAATGTATGGACATTCTTACAGGAACAAACAAAACTGAAGTCTTAACAAGTCTTCTGTGCCAGCTGCTCCAATAATATACATGTTTATGTGACAACCTGGAAGAATGTCTGATGTTGTAGCTTGATCATAAGCTACAAGTATGCAGTCAGGTCTGCTTAACTAATAGCAATCAATCTGTTTGCTACCAATAACACATTTAAAAGGACAGAAATATGTTCAAACACTGATAGTAGGTACTGGAACTTGACTAGGCAGTCTGACTGTGACTAGAATTAGAAGAATGCTATTTAAACATGACCATTGGGGAAACTTACAAGGCATTATTTATAAGAAGTTCAAGTAACTCAAACGGAAGGTGGAACCTGATGTTGACTGCCTGGAAGCTGCATCCAGAGGATATCAAGAAGTTAAGTATACTTCTTTTTGGATGCCCTGGTGAAAAATTTACATGAGCTAATTTAAATAAAGTCAGCTGCACAGATCTTGTCCTTTTTTGTGGGTTTTGCTCATCAGCTTTAACCACTGAAAATTATCACTTCTGTCTTTGCGTACAGGTGTGACAATCTTTCTGGGTGTAAGATTGAGCTGTGATACCCAATTTTTAAGAGTTGTATCCATCTTAGCCATTTCCCTAGTGACAAATTGCTTGTCTTCTGAAGACTGGCAGGAAAGTGTTTATTTCATGCCATGTAGTTGCTTGCGTGTGACATGTAGGCTTAGGGATCATTGGCCAAGATGTCTGGCCAGTCCCTAAGTATATGTTGCTATAGGTCTTCCCTGTTTCCACGCTCTTCATTGCTAGTTTTCTTCCCAATCCAGTCCTGTTTCCTGTTTAAATATCTATATGCAGAAATGCAATGGTCTGCCTTTTGAATTGGTGGCTTGTCTCTTGTTTCTAATTCAGTAAGTACCACTTTCTTTAATCCAGGTGTTAACCAGGTTTACAACCAACTTATTGCTAGTTGCAGCTAGCAAGAAACCTGCTTCTGCATGGGAGTTCAAAAGTTCTTTCAGATGTTTGCTGTCACTGTCTGTCATACAAGCAATAAATAACTGTTAGCATTTATAATCAGTTATTCTTCACCTGCCAAATCCTCACTGAAGTTTCTCAGGAGTTCACTGAACCATTTGACTGACAAGGTTTTAAAAGATTTTTTGTATGCACTAGTATAATTGTAAGAAACATACACTCAAGAACTGATCTGTAGTCAACACTTCATGTTATAGAAACTTGACATTTTTAACTGTACAGTGCCTTTAAAATGAACTAGAGGTGGTTTTGAAGGTTACTGTATGATAAAGTTGCCAGCTGGATTTGTACACCCAGCATCAGCCAGTGAAGAAAATTAGCAGTGAAATTTAAGATAACCCTGACTTAAAATACTTGGCTTTGATCAATATTTGCAGGAACTTTAAGAAACAGAATTTCTGGTATATTATTTCCTAGTTGTTTCTTGTGCTATCATCAATAAGATACTTGCAAGTAGAAAAATTAATTACTTCCACGAAGTTATCTCTGCTGTGGCAGCACTTGTTGCATTGGCGAAATAGATCACTTAGCTGTTATGTTATGAAGTCATATTTAGAATTTTCTGCAGATTTTGGAGCAAACTTGAACTTTCCAGTCATGTTTTAATAGAGTATTCTACCTTGTAAGCAAACCTCTAGCATCTTCAACTGAGTCTTCAGAGGTCTCAGTTTCCTGAACAAAAGTCAATTAAAAAGCTATCAGAGTTGTATCACTGCTTTGATTATATAAATGATATTCCAAGTACATCTCTGTAGTATGAGCTTGCAAGACTTCTGAATAGCTATAATGTACTATCAGTTCTGGCTTAAGTTAATTGTTGCTGTTGTACTTTTCTAGTTAGCCTCTACCATGTTAGAGGCTCAGTGAGCCCTAAATCTTGCTGACACATCAAGGATAAACCATGGTCACTAGGAATACACTGAATAGAATTCAACAGGAACGTGTGCCAAATGGGTTCCTATCTTGCTGCTTAGTCTGTAGTGATTGGTGGTTTACCTGGACTTACAAATCGTAAGTACAATAAAGCCTGTAATAGTCTGTTCCGTTTCTTAGCTGAAAGCTGACAGTATGCTTTAGATTTCCTGCAATGAGTAAAAAGCCTTTTCTGAGAAAGACTGCAAAGAAACATCTGATACCTTTTTGTATTGTCAGCTTTGACTTCAGAAAAAGATTTCAGGGTGGGCTTGAGATTTTGCAAGGAGACCAGTAATTTACTTCTAGGAGTGTGCCATGCCACATAGAATGGTAATTTCACACTGAGATAATGTGACAATTTAAGCTAAGAAAGTAATGAGTCCTTTCAGTGCTCATGCTTTGCTTCTGAATAATCAGTATAGACATAACTCTTCAGGTTCTTTGAGGTATCTTTTACTGCTTAGAAATTATGTCTTTGGCTCACAGCTCTTCCGTTATTTGACTTTCTCAACACAAGTTTCTGAATTGGACAGTAGCCTACATTTTGAAAAATATTACTCTCTTATAGAAACTGTCATGTGGTTTATCCTGAAATACTGGTAACTACTAGTTTGCATAGCAGAGTTATAGTTGAAGTGTTTTAAGATAGCTGATTAAGTGTAGAAGGTAAATTGTCTCCATGTAAGTAAGTAGATGTTCAACCCATTATGACAGGACTGGAACAGTTCTGGATATGGATGGGGATATAATGCACTGCTTGTGAGATTAAGCAAAGGAAAAATATTCATCCCTTTCTAAAATAATCTAAAATTTGAAATACCCAAGCTGTAACATTTTTCAGGCTCTTAAAGTGAAGATTACAGTTTGTATTGACAGTACATCTTCTTACACTAGTGTAGGTCTGTTCTCTTGCAATCTTATGCAAAGTCAGCTTTTTTGCAGATAAAGCAATGAAACTGAGAATCGCTATTCTTTTTTCCTGTAAATGTGTTTTGATTATACTTAAAAAAAAAAAAAGCCTTGTTTTGATTGTGGTAAGATAATAATAGTCTAAATTTTAAAACAAATTTTGTTTCTATATTAAGGCGTGTGCCAATTCTGCATAATTAAATGAATCAAATTCTAGTGTTCTTGACCAGCTTTAGTGAGTGAGATGTAGTTGTTACAGAAATTATCTGAAAGTTGGACTAATTTTCACATTCCATTTGGAGAGATTGCATGAGTGATAGCACTTCAATCGAATTTAAAGGTACAAAGAGGATTATTTCTTTGAAATAGAAAATATAAGCACACTTAACAAAACCATTATAGCTTTTTTTTCCAGGTTCGTATCTAGAAAAAGTGATATATTTAGGGCATCAGAAAGAAGAGTTTTAGTTTCCGGTGGGCTGGTCTGAGAGGTTGTTCTGGGCTCATGCCAGGCATGGTGGTGTGTGCTTGTTGCCCCAGCTACTTGGGAGGCTGAGCCCGCTGGATTGCTTAAGCCCCGGAGTTCTGAGCTGCAGTGTGCTTTGCTTAGCGGGCATCCGTGCTGAGGCTGGCATCAATATGGTGAGCCCTGAGGAGCTGGGGCATGCCAGGTTGGCTAAGGGGGACAGTGAGCAAGCAGCTGCATGGTTCTGAGTTACCAGGTGGGCTTAAACCAACATGGGGGTATGTCAAACAGATCTGTTTCTTCCTGATTGTCCTGTGTTCACCACCTGGAAGGACATGTGGGACCCTCCCTTGTAACAACTGATTAATGTTAAATCTTAATTTTGCTTGTTATAAATTTGTCTGGGGGGTTTGCCCAGAGGCAGTATGCAGGTTGCCTCTAAGACATACAACTTAGAGTTTGTTGGTTTTTTTTTTTTTTTAGTGATTTTGAAGAACAGTGTCAAAATCCTTACCATGAGAATCCAAATATCTTGCATAAGGGTGGTGACTGAGAAAATTCAAAGCAAATGTGGAGCTGAATGTGTGTGTAGTTTGTATGGAAATTCAAGTCTGGATATGGGGCTTTTAATCAGAATGTATCAAACTTCCTGTGAGGAAGTAAAATATAGATTGATTTAAGGGCACCTCTGCTTCTGCTAAACTGCTTAAACAT